GAACCATAACGCGGGACGGGGAACAACTTCGCCTTTAAGTCAATAGGGTAATACTTCTTGAAGTTTACTAGGATATGATTCCGGTTTCTTTTAATTAAAATATTTGAAAATTCTTTAAAAGCATCTATTATTCTGTTTAACGCACTACTAGGATCTTGGTTTGCACGGACAAACAAGTCACCTTTTCCTAGTATTTTGATTTTCACTACATACGCTGCATAGAAAAGACAACTTTTCTGCTACGTTAAAGCACAGGATGTCCGTTTACCGAGAGGCAAACACCGGGGGGCGGGGATAGGGGGGATGACACAGCTCTCCAAAATGCAGGATTTTGGAGACAGCTCGGTGAGGAGAACCCCCCCCCTTGGTCTCTTTCCTCGCTCTTCTCTCTGCGGGGCTGGCGGTTCGGATGCTCCCCCCATTCCGCAGTGGCGCGCAGGATCCGCCAGGGATCAGGCCATCACCGGGGATGAATCTGAGCCCGCCGGGGCGCTGCTGCGCCCACGGGAGACTTGACAGCAGACAGGGCCCGCCGCTGGATTTGTGGAGCACATCTCTTGTCCCGAGGGATCCCTCTCCTTAGCCCCTCAACCACGGGCGGCTCAGCCCCGTCATCTCCGGGGAGTCGGGACCGTGATGTTTTCCCGAACGTGGGCTCGCTACCGGGTGCGCAGCGCCAATTGACACCTCGAGGTGAGGTATTTCTGGGCTTTATTGTAGTCTGCGCAACGCAGGGAGCTGGATGGTAACCCACAAAAGTCTAGCTCAGCGATCATCAAAACTTTACACTTGCTATACCTTTTAACAAACAGAGGCATCAGCATTCCTCGGTTACCAACTACGTAACTTTTCTATTAATTAGTATTCAAACCACTATTAGCTAGTAGCATCTCGCTGCTCATGCTAATTAGTCCGCAGGCGCAGTTCTTTTTTCCAGTTGAGCCTGGGGTCCGTTTTGGGCAGGTGGCCAATGGGTTGCGATCTCGCACTGCCGAAATTACGTTTTGCCCAGTTACTGCTCCATTCTCCTGACTTCAGTCCTGATGCCTCTCGTCCAGACTGCCCGTTCACCTTGGGATTGTCTTTCCTTTTCCTTAAAAAAAAATTATCCGAGGGTGGACATCCACAATTCTCCCGCACCTGGGCGCGCATCTGGGCTCGCTCGCACCCCGTGCACACTGCGCATGCGCCCCCCGGCCGTGCCGTGCGCAGCGGGCCGCGGCGCGGGGCCGGCGCTTGCGCGGTTGCCGGGGCGACTGGAACACAACATGGCGGCCTGAGGGCAGCGCCGGGAGCGGGGCCGGGTCGGGCCCGGCCGCTCATCCGCCAACCTCGGCACCTGCGAGAAGGCGCGGGAGGCACAGTAAGGGGGTACGGGGGAAGGCTTCGGGCCCTTTCTGAGGGGTGGTGCGGGCCCGGAGCCTCCAGGGAGGCTGAGGGTCACCGAAGGGGCTGTGGTTTTAGGGAGCAGCCGCGCTGAGGGCGCCGTAGGTGCTTCTGTAGCCCCTGGAAACGCCATCCCTGCAGCCCGTGAGCAGCTCCTGGGTCTCGCATGCCAGCGCTGGTCTCTGCGTCTCAGTCCTCCGCAAAAGGGGGCGAATAGGTCTTTCTCTCGGCTCCTGCGGGGCATCACCCTGGCTGCTGGTGTCTCCAAGTGCTTCCTCAGGAATTGTTAAATTTTCGTGGTTCGGCACGCCTTGCCATCCATTGTGTAGCATCCTTCACGTCATCCCGTGTCACACCCTGCACATCTGGCTGAGTGCGATAATTACGTACCGTGGCCTTGAAGCTCAACTTGCTTCTTCCTTCATTTCTTTGGTTATTTCTCTCTTCCCACGTGTATTAATGTCATACTTAAACATCATAGCTTTTTCTTCCTCAGTATCTTGGCATCTTTGTAACAAAGTGTCTGCTTCAGATTTCTATAATAGCCTCTTTTGACTACTGAAGTGCTGTCTTTTGTGTCATTTTGTATTGGATTCTTTATTCTAAATTGTTATTAAATTTACACACTCTCTAGTTACAATGATTGGATGTTGTCTTTGAGTTCCGTCACTTGCTTATAATTTATATTTAGATTATTCCTTATTTCCTGGCTTCTTTAGCCTCTTGCACATTAAATCTTACTCTTGAATGATTCATGGCCACTTTTTTGGGGTGTTGGATGAGATCATATTGCTACAACTTTTTCTTCCCAGCCTTTATTTCCATTTCCACTAACCATTCTTGAGCTTGAACGTCTGTGTGTGCTGAAGCAGAGGGGAGGGAGGGGAGAGGTTAGATAACATCTATTGTTACAGATGCACGAGAGAACTCTACCCAGTGATCAAGTCTCTTTTATTCTTCAATGTTCTATACAAGTGTAATTAGAGCACTTCCTTTAATTTATCCTTGAAGTTTTCAGTCTTAAAATGCTCATAAAAATTTTAACCTTTCTTTCAGTCTTCATCTCTGACTACAACAAATTCAGATAATCTAACTGGTAGTAAGTTTTTTTTTTGTAGCTACACAAATTTTCATAGATTAAAGCTGCCAGGCTCTAACCTGTTTTTTGTTCAGCGTGTGTTTGAAGTCTTTTGTTTTGGTGGGTTCTTTCTGTTGCCTGGTCACTCTCATGATGTGATCACATGATTAGGATGGTGGTGAAGTGGTTTTTTAAGAATCTCCAGAAATCTTGGCTTGTGAATGCAAAATTAAAATTTGTTAGTACACCTGAAATCTAAATTTTATATCTTCTTATTCTATAAAAACTTCTATGCTGTTATTCTTACAATGCCTGATTTTCTTTCAGCTGCTGATTAAACAATAACTAACTTGTCATGTGATCGTTATAATTTTGTCCCTAGGAGAAAATCCCTCTTATATTAGTGACCTGTTTTGTTCAGAGTTTACACATTGACTTTATTCATCAGAGACTTTTCAAATAATGCAATTTTCATTCCTGATTCTTGTTTTTATTCAGTCAGCTGAAATTATTCAGGCCTTTGCTTCATTCTTTTCACTGGATGGATCTCATAAGCGTCAGATTAAAGCTTCAGTTGTTGGTTATGTGTGGGGTATTTATTTTGTCTACAGAGCACTCTGTTGTAAAAGAATTAAAATAACAAACTTTACAGGCTTATATGGAATAGATCTTCAGTGCTGTAAGAATGCTTTAAAATGTGTAAAGGATTAAGTGTTTGTACAGTATTAGAATTCTGTAATTTAAAATTTAACTCAAGTTGTTTTGAGCTCTCCACTGTCACCTGTGCTTCTCTTGTATGTGTAAAATACATTTATAGAAGAAAATACATAAACATAACCAAATAGTATGAACATATACTATCTCACTTTTTTAAATACCTGAAAATACTTTCAATAAATTTGTACAGTAATGCATTCCCTGCATTTCTCTGCCTAAGAACTTTGGTTCATTAACACTATGGCTGGTATGCCATAGATATTAAGATCTTATTTTCAGATCATATGATTTTGAATTTTTTTTTTTATGCCAGAGAATCAATTACTTGTATTTAAGAGGAAAAAAAAAAAAAGAAGACAGGATGGCCATTTATTAGAATAAAAGAATAAATCAGCAAATAGCCAACTTTTTTTGTGTCTGTCTTGGGTATATTTTGCCCCCAGGGCTGGCTCTGACATTATAAGAACATATAACACAGCCAGTGTGTTTCTGACTGGTTGGAGGGTATCAGTTGCTACCAAAAAACTCCACTTACACTGAATTCTGTGAGAGTAGTATTTAAGTAGTCTGAATTTACAGTCTCCATCTTATATTTAGCAATTTAGACAGGAAATTAAAACCTAACGTGGGGATAGAGAACATGGTGATTTTTCCTGACAAGACATTATTTCCTCAGTCTCAACTAGCGAAGGCTGAGGAGCAGCTTGCTTGAAGCACTAACTGCCCAGTTATCAAATAACAGACAAAGCAATTAAATAGTCCTGTGGTCTCCTCCCCATTTTGGAGTCTTTGTTAGAGATTGCCTCCTTTACCCACAATGATTTTCAAATTCAGTTTCTACTTTTAAAATAGCTCTATATAAATTGTCTATATTGAGTGTATTAGATAGGTGTGATTTATTTTAAATTACTGTGCTATTTCCAATTTTTCAAATTTAGATGGCCTAATTAGTTAGTTTATGATGCAGCATGATCAATAATGATCAGAAAACAGAAGCAGCAGATGATAAAAATGAGAAGATCACCTGCCAATTCTCATGTAAGTGCTGCTACTGTATTGAAGAAAGACAGGTTGCAAGAGGAAGGTTTCTACAAATTAAAACACAAACATCTGTCTCACAAGGAAAGAAAGCACTTTTTTGTTGTTTGGGATTTTTTTTAAACAGAAACAAGTATGAAAGCTGGGGAGATGAAAAGAGAATAAGACAACACACATTGATTGTCAGTTGGAAGATAGCATTAGAATGTCCCTGCCTAAGTAGCTTTTCCCTCTGCCAAATTTCTTGGCAGGCTTTCTCCACTGTAAGGCTGTGTTTATACTTGTAAATTAAACATATCTGGAAATCTTGGGCACAAAGAGCAACTGGCATGAAATAGCCCCCATGTCTGCTAGTAAATTCTCTTATCTTCCAAAACAAGGCAGTAGCAAAGAAACTGCTTGAGAAGTGACCTTAGAAGGAGTCCTCACACCAGGCAGGGAAGGTGCCTCACAAAGTGCTGATTGTCACAGGCCAAGTCCCTGCCTTAGGGACTTTTGTCACAGTGACTAATAACAGGCAGCTACACTGAATTTACTGCTATCACATAGTTTGAGACTCCCAGTTATTCTGACACCCATAAAGGGCTGAACATGATAAAAGAGGTTTTCTGCCCTGCCTCCCTCAAAATGACTGGGTTTGCATCTTTCTTGAATAATAAGACCATGTCAAAAGCTACAGCAGCATAAAGCTAACCAGAATTGGATTTTGCTCAGGTGAAATTACTGAAAAAATTATCAAGGATAGAATCTGTAGGTGCTAAAAATAAAAGGAAATAGGAGGATGAGGTGGGTGAAGGGAACTAGGCACTGGGATTGGTAAGGAACAGTTAATCACAAAGCTGAAGGAGAATAAAAGAGGAAAGAAAAAAGTCAGTTCTGATTAATTCTGAAAATTAATATAAATAAAACTTTGTTTGATAACCCTTATCTGCTTCATCCCTTAAAGTTCTGCAGAATTAGAATTGACTGATTTTTCACATCCTTGTATTTGATGCACTTCATTAGCAAAGCCAAACATTACTTTTGACCCAATGCAAATCTCATATCTGAATTTAGTATGGGAATAAACCTTTAAAATCAAAAACTGCTTTGCTTAAAATAAAATTTAAAAAACAGAAACAAGCAATACCTCCACAAACAAACCCGATAAATAACCCCCATGTTGGAACAATGATTCCATGATACACTTTCTTCCCAATGTAATTTTGTTTTCAGTACATTGTAAATAAAGGGAGTTTTTTGGTTTTTGTTTCTTTTTTTTTGTGAAAGAAGCAAAGAATAAATTCATATATGAGTTACTCATTTTCTGCAGCATAAAAAAAGGTAGGAAGGGCTATGTGAAGAGGCATCCTGTCTCTGAGCAAGGAGGTGGTAGTTTATTGTCTAATTACTGTATTCTGCTCTCTAGAATATATATTTCTGTAATCTGGGCAGCAAAACTTCATTTGGTGTTTAAAATTTTATTTTCTCTCAACTTACATATTAACAAAATGCCTCTTTTATTTGAAAGTTTTCCATTAGTCAGCATTTAACAAGTCAAGTAAGGATTGATAAACAGTCTTCATAACAATTTCAAACGTGCTGAAACAGTATATTTTTGTTTTTAAAATACCAGTTGCTAAGGTAAGGAGAGGGAACATTTTCTGATGTTCTGGAGAAACTGAGTCTTAGGGAAGGAAAGTACTATGCAAGTAAGCACGTGAAGCAATGTTTTGAAAGGTATGCATAATTAATCATGGAATTCTACAGAAAATCATGTTTAAATTCAGTGAGAGAACACAAAATTAAGACTAAGTGAAGCTTTTTAAGTACACATGAATTAAAAAGGTTTGCATGTGGTACAGAAAGGGGAGCTGCCTTCCTGTTTGGCACTGGGGGGTTATTTCCTTGAGTACTCTAATTGATGTCACCCACTGTATTAAATGGTGCCTGGCCACTGGGTCGAGGGTGAAACAAGATGAATGAGGACTAAATAGTTGATTTCTGCCTCGCCAAATGCACTGAATACACTTCTGCTGTTTTTCTTTTAGCTGTAAATAATAATTGGAGGAAATGTGTCAGTCCTCTCCCTAGGTAATACTTTTTTCAGTCTATTTAAGTACTGTTTTAATGAAGATTAAAACCAGTGCATTTGTCCTTAGTCAATGTATAGCATTAGTTCTCCTTTATATTTGCCTTTATATTTACATTCATTGTCCAGATGTTATATGGTCACAAAATAGGTGCTTTTTATCAGTTAGGAAAATAGAGGAGACGACTGTGTCTAAATAGACATAGCTTTGACATTGTCCTCCAAGTATATAAGTGCCAACCAGTGCCTCTTGGGTTACTGATTTTGTATTCTCAGTTAAATATATCAAGTTCCTAATGAAATCACTGGGAATGACTCATTTGTACATACAAAGTGAAATGGGGCATTTTGCTCTTATGTGAGATTTCAAAATGTAACTCAGAGCTTCAAAGAATATCAGTTAAAAAAGAGAAGTATCTTCAAGTGACATGGCTTCTGATTCTGTGTTATATAGTTAGAGATCTGTTGGTCCATTTATACACTACTTACAATTGACAGAATTTTCCAATTTATGATCAAAACAGTATTTAAACTATCTGCTTAACTGTATCAAGAGCAGATGTATACAACTCAGTGGTAAGGCTCAACAAGCACACTCTCTTTCATCTTTTCATCTAAAACATCTTTTAAGCCTTTAACCCTTTGATAAATTGACTGACAAATTCTTTTGATGACGTGAACTCTTTTAACAGATTATAGCATTATTTTAAACAGAACCTCCCCATATAAGGTATTTCTCCTCATTTCAAAGTGGAGAATATTGTTTTGGTGTTTAGCTGTAAGTCTGACTGGGAAAAGACGTATGTCCTGCTCTGATCCATTCAATAGCGTGCAAAGCTCTTTGTTTCCTGTTTCCTTTGCAAAGTTTCTGTAGCATGGGTTTTTTGTTTATTAAAGCCTAGGAGGCCAATGAAATAATATACACAGTAATTTAATAGTGTCTATTTTTCATGCAAGATGTTTCCATCAAAACTTAATTTTAAATGTTAAATTTGGCAATGCATCCCACTGAGCAATGTTTGGAATGTATGCTACAGCAGCACAGAGTAAACAGTATCATCCATACTCTTATGCATCACTAAATTCCTGCTGGGTAGCTCCTTGGCATGGTATCTGGCATCTGAAGCACAACACATTACTACTTTTCTTCTTAGGGTAAGCCCAGCTACTCCAAGCTGCAAGAAGGAATAAAGCTATTTATTAATTACTGATTTTCTCCATAAAGAAACAGCAAGCAAACAATTTATCGGGCCCTGCATTTGAAAGTTCAGTGACAGACTAAAGTTCTGACAGCCTCATGGCAGGGGAAAAAGTCAACAATAATACAGTCCCTGGCTTCAAGTCGGTCTTCCTCTTTTCTGTTTAATTCAACTTTGGTGCAGAACAAGTGAATAATCTTAGATAAATACAAGCACTAAGGCAGCTGAGTCTACATCCTACTATCTTTATGTTTACATAAAGTTGTTTTGTATGCATGGGGCATTGTTTTCTTTCTTTATTCCAGTATTTGAACAATATCCAGTAACTTCTGAGTCTAGAGACATCTTGTAGATTCTTAATCAGCTTTTTATTTCAACAGAAAGAAAAAAACAACAGGTTTCTCAAAATCTGAAGTCTACACCTGCCTTTCTTTAGAAAGCCTGATATAGCTCTTGCATTCTTTGTTTCTTTTCCAACAGACCAAAAATATTTCATCATTAGTATTAAAATTAAAAACTAAATATATGCTAAACATAGTTCAATTTCATCTCATAATATGTAAGATTTGCTGGTGACTTCAACCCATGTCCCATATCCAATTAACTGGCTTTAACTGTACACCATGGCTCAGTTCTCTGGTTAAGCACACTCAGTGCTTATCTGCTGAAATAGCCTCTGGTACTTAAGGATCTTGGCTTCACTTAGTTTGAACTAGGAATCAAGGCAAACTATTTGGCAGTATCATTTCATAGGCAACTGTACAGACACCTCTGTGCAAGTAGTTGAAGTTTAGATCTCAGAATTAGGCAGTAGCTGAGCTATGCTTTTGGAAAGAGGTGTCAGTGATAAAGTTGGGTTCCTTGCCTCATTAAGCACTTCAGCGTCTTCTGGGAACATGTTCCGTCTCAGAGTAATCATGTTTTATGACAGCATTTACTCCATTACTGCATGGTACATTTCATCACTATGCAACAGCAGACATATCCTTCATTATTCAAATACTTGACAAAAAACTTGTTGACTGCTCTGAAATACTTTTGCTTGCCCTTCAGGCTGTCTTATTTCTCTGTACAAGGCTTGGGTACTACACTGCTATTGCCAAGCCCGTTTTCTACAAATATATGGGAAGCCACTAATCGTGTCAGCAGCTTGGCTTTCTGGAATTCTCAACCTCAGCTGCTGTGGTGTTAACTCAGTGTAATCCAGCTGGCAAGCCAGCTTGCCGAGCTCCTGCAGTCTGTCTGCAAGCTGAACTGCAGATTGTACCCTCAAGCTTTTACCGGCTGGGTTAACACAACAGGGAAGATGGACTGTAATGCAATTATCTTACAAGAAAAATCAAAGACCTAAAGATGTCTGCCTCTGCAGGGCAGTGAAATGGAAAGTAAAGTGTCAGATGTATTACATCATGATTATACTTTGAATTGCTGTTGTCAGCAAAACAGTGATTCCAGCCAGGTACTCATTTCCATGCAATAGAACAGTACTGGAGATTTAAATAAAAAGTATTTTCACATACCGTGTAATGGCTTCCCTCTCTTTTATTGAAAGCTTGTATCAGTTAATTTACTGGAAATTTCTTGATTCTGAACAATGTGATATGCCCAGAAACATGCCTTCAAAGAGCTTCATGGAATAAATCAGTTAACTTATGTAGTGGGCACTTTGGATAGCATAAACTAAAACTATGATACCTCAGATGATTAAAAACTTCCATGAGACAGTATCAATTAAAAATGAACATGTCCATTTTAATACTGGTTAAACTAAGTACTGTTTTCCTATGCTGTGTACAAATAAATATGTAAGTTTTATTTCTAGTTTAAAGTCTCCTTATTTGTTTCTGCAGTGATGAAAATCCTGGCTCCCTTTCACTGGTATGTGAATTTATGGCCATGAATATTTATGAGCAGATAAAAGGTATGTAGCATCTACTTAAGAAACACAAACTCTCCTTGTGTAGATCACAAAGTGGAATTAATAATTATTCACTTATTTGTTCACTGTTACAGATTATAAAACTCATAGGGAATTTGGTGCTGTACTGCTTTACCCTTTAGTTCTTGCCAGTGGAATATACCCAATTGTTTAAGACATAGGTGCATGCAGGTTTCCCATGAGTCAAGTCCATAGCCATCTATTCTACAGTCAAAAAACCTTGACTGCAAAACACGAAATAATTGCTTTATGTAACAAAAAATAAACATATTTGTCGTTTGTTTCAAAACTATTGAATCAGTGAATAAGGATTTTCAGTTTTCATACCTAGTAAAAAAGCCTTTCACTAAGTTTCTTTATAAAATAACATTGTTCTCTCATCCCTCCTATATTTAAAAATTCTGGAGCTGTTTGTTGAAGCAGGTCAGAGACCATAAAGGTCAAGGAAGAGTTCCTACCAAAAACAGTTGAGAACAAAAGCTGATTTAAAACCAGATCTTACATAAACAGTAAAGGAACTGGATACAGCAAATGAAGGGGCTTACAATTCATAAATAAAAGAGGATTTTTTAAAATTAATAATTAAGAATTTGTAATGTCTTCACAGTTGTGAGTTTAATTTAAATAACTGAACATGCAACTGTCATTCAGTGTAATACAATAAAGACTTGCCCCTGAACATGACATTGGTGACACTGACTATTCAGATCTCTAACAAAAGGAGTAACTCTGTTTCTGACCTAGATAAGAATGTGAGATTAAAATTGAGTTATTTGCTGATTGCTGAAGTAGACATTAATGTGTACTAGTTTTAATAAGACATTTTGGGTTTGCTATATTTAGCATGGTATTCAGATGGAAATGAGAACCATCACTTCAGTATGTTCTGATTATTTTTTTTATTATTTAAGAATGCAAGTTCTTTCAAAGTTTTCCAGAAGATTATTTTTTTCTCCACTTAGTTGTAGTAACCTCTTTTTCTATGGTACGGTGAATCAGTTCAAAATGAAATCTGTGTTCAAGAGTAATCTGAAATGCAGTTAGGGATTTATCTGAACATTAATCCGGGTTTACATGAACTTCTGTAAATTGCTGATTCTTCTTTATGGTCTGAATTTTGAGTCTGGACTGTGTTTACCATGATACAGTGCCTTACTTTTAATGTTGTATAAGGTGGTGGCACATGGGGTGGAGCTTGTGAAATCTTAGAATATAATAGGAGAGTGAACTGAAGTGGACTGAAAATGAATTTTTAATTTGACAAGGAGTATGGAGACACTTCTGTAATTAGGAGGACAGTTCACTGTAATGCTACTAATGTGGAAAGCTGATACTTTGGGGTTTTTTCTTAAAAAAACATCCATGTCACTTCAATCAGGCCTATTTGTCTTTACAAAAAGTCATAATTGTCTAGCTGTTTATTTATAGTGGAAGCATTTAATAACTGAAAAACAGTCTTGCCCTTTGTTTAATCAACAGCAGTTTGGTCATTTAAAGCAATGAAAAAAGTGTCTGAGAGAGAGGTGTGGAGGATCTCTCAAGAGAAATGATAGAAGTACCAAGTCAAGTGCCACTGCCTTAGGATTCACTGCACCATTACTGCCAAATAAGGTCTTTCCAATGATAAACCTGGAAGTAGAAGAGCATCTGCTCCAGATTTTTCTAGTGACATGTAATGAAAAGCAGTTGAGCATGACTTCTTTTTATGAAGGCCTGATTCCTTAAATACAAATAATAATCTAAATTGATTTGAATAGCTGCATTTTATAATCTTTTTCGCTATAAATGACAGAAGTCCTGATGTTGAAAGCACCATTTATCTCTATGGAGGCACTACTACTACAATTCCTGATGTAAATGGTACTCTGTTCCAAGTGCTTTGTGATCTAATCCTGCTCAGTGGATTATGTGGCTGCCTGGAGGAGCACTGTAATCAGCTGGGAACACAAGTCCCGCTGGCTGCTGGGGCTCTGGCCTCAATGAGTTACTGTCCTGATAATCTCCCTCCTCCTCCCCAGCCAATTACTCATACTACTGTCATCACACAGATCAGTACCTGCTTTGTTTTTCAAAAATGTGATCATTTCTGCCTCCGTTGATGGCATTGCAGCGTTACATAAAGGCATTACAGCAAGATTAAAAGACCTTTGGAGCCTATAAAAGAAAAAAGCTGAGCAGTTACTGAATGGCTCTGAAAAACAGATAAATTTTATAACTGTAATTATTGCCTAACAGCAACAGCAAGCTAAACTACATAGGTTAGCCTTTAATTTGCAATTCAGATGTGAATCACAGTCCTTTACCCATTGCGGTAACTTGAGGTGATTGATACAAATCTTCAGCCTGAAGGACAATTACCTTGAGTAGAGAGGAAATGAGATACTTGGAAATTAAATACTGCAGTGCTGCTAGAACTTGGGGAAATAGATACTGCAAGTAATGCATGCAGTAAAAACTAAGGCATCTTACAGAGTATTGAGTTGACAATTGTTAGCTGAGCTGTTCTGGTTGAAATATAAATTATGTCAGAATTTGAGTGGAAAATGAATTACAAAGCTAGCTATAAATGACAGAAGTAGTATAATTGAAAAAGGTGATATCAATGCACCTCTGGAAGCTGAAGACTATGGTATTTGTATTTTATTTGTTCTTTCCTAAAAAGGATTCACACAACTTGAAATTTTATTCTAGGAAGGAGAAAGTCATTGCCTGAAAAAAAAAAGAATCAGGAACAACATGTACCAGATATGGAAGTCTCTAGATTGCGTACATAGGTAAAAGACCTGGTTCGGCAACAGTTTTACAACAAATGTAGCATACATTTATTTCAGGGTCTTTTCTAGGCAGAAACAGAATTGTCTGGGGCAGCAGCTGACTGCTGCAGGGAGAGAAAAGGCCGTGGCCCAGCTATATCTTTGCCTGCAGCAGAGCCCTGGGAGAGCAGAGGCAGAGCTGCTGCCAGCACCCCAAAGGAGCTCTAGTACCTGCTGCAGGAAGCCCTCCTGCGAGGGGATGGCACTTGTAACCCTCTGGTAGCCCTGGTGAGAGCAGAAGCAGAAAGCCTGGCCTCTCCTTCCTGGACTTGCCCATTCCCCATTCCCATATGTAGCTGTTGTCTCACCATGATGGCAAAATTTAATTTTTTACTATTCTGTTGGTAAGTTTGAAAGAAGTGCTGATTTCTTTAAGTATTTTTGTTACAAATAACTGGAAGCACTGGTAATTTTTATCTTTTTTGTATTAGTACAGAAATGTGATATTTCAGAGAGACGAGCCACAAGAAAACATAACAATAAAGGAAATTAATTCTGTGTGAGGATATTTAACTAGAAGTGAAGTATATAAGTAATTTTCTCTTTACACTGAGAAGGTAATGAATATTTCTTCATGAATAAAAGTACATTTTCTTAAGAAATACATAGACAGTTATTGTATTCCTGATCTAAGGAAATGAACAATCTTTCTACTTGCTAAAACCTGAAATGACTGAGATACCTTACACCCTGCATGTGTTCCCCCAACCTAAAAACCTGCTCTTTAGCCTCTTTTAATATATATTTTTCTTTCTGTGTTAATCTAGATACAGGAAATAGGATTCAGTTTTGCAGCTCTTTCTTTCTACATTCAATTCCTACATTTAGTGGAAGTTACACATACAAAAGAGAGCAGAAGATAGTGGCTTCAGAAGATTTAATTGTAACTATCTCTCCTGACAGTTCTGGAAAGTTATTTTGCTAATGTTTGAAAAGCAAGGATTTTTAAATTCAGTTTATGAAATTTTATTTTCTGAAGATAAATTTTTCTTTTGAGTCATAGAAGTGTACAGGAGAAGCCAAATACACCTATTATATCACTGCTAAACAAAAGAACTCTAATAACTTAATCTAGATGTCCTATTTAGCAGCCTTTTCTCCTGTGATAGTCCCTATGCTCTTAGACCTTTCTTTTCATGATGTACAGAACAGTATTTGCATTACATACTATGGACACAGGTATCTTCATGCCTGGAGCTACTTACTATTTTAATGCAGCTTTACTGCTGTGATATTTCTACCCTTGATTTTGGAAAGTTTCTTCTTAAAGTAATCTGTCATTTCTTTTACAACGACTATTTTACAGTCATTGCTTGAATATTTTACTGCTTGTAATTTGTGGAAACACTTTATTTATTTTTGCAGCAGAACACCCTGAAATTAAGAGATCTTGGATCTTGTAGGAGTATCTGTTCTCATCAGGCACACAGTACTTCCCCACGCTGGTACTGAGCACCTGAATGTTTGCTTACAAATGGGCTCTAGAGTTACAAAATTGGCATGTGGAGTCCTGGCTGTGTTTTCTATGAAATCACAGGGTACTGTGTTCAGTGGAGGGTTTTGCTTATCATTAATCAAGATAATCAAAGGTAAATAAATTAGGAGCATGTGATTTGGGTAATATGATCTTCATTTCCAAAGATTTGTAGAAGAAGCTTCTGTGCTTAGTCTGCAGGGTTCATGAGGCAGTAAGTCTGTCTGGTCCAGCACACTCTTCACCCTGTGGCAGGTTAGTAGTAAAGCAGTTCAAGAGAACACAGTACAAATAAAAATGATTTACAAAGAAATATTTTTGAACATTTTTGCCCCAATGGCTTCGTATTTAGTAAAAATCTATTTCGTCTGCTTTATCTCTGTGTAGAGTATGGCTCATTTCCTCTCATGAGCATCACAAACTATCCTTAGTCTTGTTAATGCACTTAATGGTAAAATATTTCTCACTTTTTTTGGACTTACTAATACATTCTGCAAAAACAGAGGAGATTAAAGAATACACTCCCTCTGACTTACAACTTTGATTTATAGTACAGGGTGTCCAAGACCCCTGTGCCCTTAAGATCTTGTGTGCTGTTATATTTTGAAATCAGGTTCTGATGAAGGAAGATTTCAGGAAAACACAAATTAACATTTTTGGTGATGATGAAACTATAACTCAAAAAATTTGTCACTGGTCTTCAAGAAAAAAGGAAAAATAGCCACCATGAGTATTTCTCCAATATCTTTGTGCCCTAGCAACAGCAGCAGTTCGTTATTCTCCTCCCACACTGCTGTCTCTGATATGCAACCAGGACTGATAACATTTGCTTTGCTTTTTTTCCTCCTCCACATGGCAAGTGCAGCTGCTGCCATCACCATCACATTAAATGACAACCATTATGCTTTGCCTGCTAACTTGTAGAAACATTTCTACTTCTCTAGCCAGAAAATGTTAAAAGAAAAATCCCAAGTGTGGCAGTACTCTTGCAAAGTAAATTGGGACCAAAAGCCTTAAGAATGCTTAGTTTTTTAATTTCAGCTTGAATCAGCTGGGCTTTGTAGCTTTGTAAGAAAATTACATACTGCAAACTTAAGTTTTCTTAGGGAAAACACCCAAACCTTGAAGATATTTCCTTGTAGTTTCAGCTTAATGTAAAAAACTTCACTCTGCAACCACTGAACATTTTCAGAGACCTTATAGGTGCGTTCAGAGAAAGGAGGGATGTTTATTGGAATATAATGAATTTAAAGAGATACAGTCTTGCCAGACTAAAGGCAATTATGGACAGGTTTGTTTCTTTTTCAGTGCCTCCTACAGTTGTTGCTGTTGAATGGTTGCATAAGCCTTTATGCTTTACAGCACATTGTATAAGAACTAAAAGTCTTTTACTCGGCCATGCTGATCTTTCAAATCTTGTTTCCCTTTCTGTTCCCTATAAATCCTGATTCCTGGATCGCACTTTTCAGTGGATTGCAGTTGCTTTCAACTTAGTTACAGTTTTACATTTGACGACAGCACGTTTTTCAGTTCACACAGAAGCTAGTCCCAGCTGCATGTCTTGATGCAGCTGCACAATGTGAATCAGATCTTTTCTCTCCTTCCTCTACTCTAAGCTTTCTGAAGACACTCAGAGCAGTGTGCAGCCAGCTGTTTCACTGAATTTGCAAACAGTTAAAAAGAAGTTTCTCACATCTACAACGGGGATGAGTGTTTTGCTTTCAAGAGTCATGTGCTACTGAAGTGTTTCTTAAATTATAAGCCCAAGGAAAAAAGCAACAAGTGCAGGAAATAAATGTTAGTGGACCTGACTAAAGTCAGATTGCTTTAATATGATAACAATGTTTTCAAGGACTCTGCAAGTGAGGATCAAGCTCAGGAATGCAGTTCAAATTATCATCTTTCCAGTGTTGCTGCTTTTAAAGAACCTGTTTGTTAGGAATGGAGTGTTATAAATATATTTCTATGTGTGCATGCACAACAAGAGGGACTGCTTGATTCTTGTCTTAAAATGAGAAGAACACATGAATGAACAAGAAGAACTTCCAGGATGTTCCACTTTACTAGAAGCAAACACAATCCCAGATCCATTGCCCTTCACCACAAGGGATGATCTCTTTACATATTTTGCCCCAAAACAGCAGAGGAGGGCAGCTACAGATTTCTCTTTAATAACCCAAGCTATTCCTTCAATCCAAACCAGCAGCTGTGTTGCTCTGCTGCTCACATTATCCTCCAGTTGTTGAAAGGTATTAAACTGTGCACAAATGAATAATTCTACCATGTTCTCTTCCTCATAAAAGGGTTTTTTTAATCAAAAGTGACAGTTAAACTGTGCCTTCTCTATTACTAATAACATTTCTTACCTTGCAGTTTCCAGCCTCTTTTCTTGGATCTAATGAGCTGGACCACATTTCAAAAATCCATGAAGTGATAGGCACTTCTGGTAACAAAACTCCAAAAGTTCAAGCAGTAAGTATGCACTCCCATAGTTACCAATCTCACTGTTTCAATACCCACAATAGAGCTGTACAGCTATGTGCAATTTCTGCTCAGGGAACCACCACAAAAACCTAAATCTGTGCTGACTCAAGACAGTGTCTTCTATCCCTACCCAGAGACATTCACCCATTCATGAGCCTTACAGGCAGAGCAAAGGATATTTGAGCCTATCTTGATCGTATTTGGCCTTTTAATTCCATAGTATCTTTAGGGCCAGGGACATAAATTTTTAGGAAAGTAATGGGTGTTTTTTCAAGTACCGCTTACTTTCCCCTAATGAATGATTACCTATATCAAGTGAATGCTTTCTTTTTAGTAAACTGAAATCCTCTCTGAATATGCATGACTAAATGTTTTTCTCAGCTTGCTTAACAAGGTCAAAGAATTTTGAATTCTGAATCCTCCCCTTATAGAAAGGAAAAGGAAAGCCTTCTCTTGTGCACAAATTGCCTTTCAAAGGTTTCTATTTCCTGTATGCAATGATAAAATATGACCCCTGTGAGAGAACTGCTCCCCATCAAACCTTATAGCACCCTTATTTTCAAGAACTCTGGCAAGTGACTTCAGATCACTTCCATTTTGAAGACTAAAGTCAAAAGGTGAGAGGAATATTGTGTCTATGTTTCAAGTGGCGTGAAATTAAATTTATTTCCAGTGCTAGTCCTTGTCCTGTCAACCGTGAACATAATTCAGCCAACACAGTTCTTTGCATTGAGTCCAAACCTTACCTAAAACACTACTGATGCTTGTCTCTATTATTCTTTTTGCCCCAACCTTTTTAAGACAGACAATACATGAGCTTTAACCATGTACAAAAAATTAAGACTAGTAGAAAATACATCAGGGCAAATACCTCAGTATTTGTGGTAAATTGCAAAGGCAAGTCCAAGACAGGTAGTATTTAAGTGGAAGAATTGTCAGCCTATTTAGAGAAAGTAATTTGTAGCACTAAGCTTGTTAGCTAGAAACAAATGTTTTAACTTAAGCTGATTACTTGGGTTTATTCTGTCTGCCTAAACACAGATCTTTATTTGGTCTGATGCAGTTCCCCCTCCTCCCAAATCCCTGACATACATGAGTTAGAATTAGAAGCTCTGATACACCATAATCCCCTTGGTAGACTCTTGTTAGAGTTGCTGTTACTTAAAGGGTCAGCTCCACCTTTGTTCTTAAATATCATCATCCTGTTTTTGATGTCTGCCTTGAGTTAAAAAGTTTTCCAGATGAAGTGTAGCAGAGACAGAAATTATGCTTTTGTCTTTTCAAGGCTTCAGTCTACAATTTGAGCAAATAAAAATATATATAGGTTTTAAAAACTTAATTATCCTGTATATAGATGATATCAGGGAAATTTCTAAATGTGTATTTGACATGAAATAAAAAATATCTGATTAAAAGTTCCGGCAAGGTAAAACTCAGTTTACGTATCAGCTATGTGAAAAATACTCTATGTATTCACTTGCTGTATCAACAAAGTGAGGTGGAAGTTAGTACCACATGGAAAACTTTCAAATACAGGTTTTTCTCAAAAAAAACCCCTCAAAAACCTCCACAAACTAGCAAAGAACAATTATAAATTATTTTCTGCTGTGCATTCAGCTTTGAAAGCATTAACTCTCCTTCTACAGGAGAAGCCACTTTTCCCACAAATTTAGTTCTGGGGTTCATCAGTGTAGGTTTTCTAAGAAGTTCCTTTAGGCAAGATTTCAAGAAACATCAAGTAAGGCAAGTAATTTTTAAAAAGGAATGAGGTGAAGTTGTAATTGGCTGAGGGTTTTTTAATTTCTGATTATTTGGGTTTTCTCTTCTAATTGTATTCCTTGAGATGTTCTCAGAAAGAAATTGAATCTTGTTGATGTATTTTAAAAACATTCTCTTAGGAAAGTCCAGGAGAAAAACCAAATCAACAACATGGGCCTCCACTGGGAGAATTACCAAAATTAAATTTTTCTGGAGCAGCCAAATTGATTTCCTGTCCTACTCCTACATTGCATGCCATTTTCTGGGGACCTAAGGAAGATGGTGGAACCCCTGTGTTCCAATCTGTCAGATTTATTGGATCAAATATTGAGGTGTAGACTCTCACTTTCCCACTAAAGCACATTTGAAACTTCTGTTGTTTCTTCAACAGTCTGAGAAACAGAAGGCACTTGAGTCTTCCCTGAAACATTTCCATTTGCCTGCTACAGAAGGAATAGAAGTCAGGAAAAGGCTGGCTATGCAGTGAGAGAGACCCAGTCATGCTTCTGTTAGAGATCTAACAAGAACAGCAGTGCCTGATTTTACCTTGCTCTGACAATCTGTAGGAAAACCCCACAAGGTTTGAGGGCTGCTTTCCTACCATTTTGATATTCTGTTCCTGAAGGGGGTCAATATTTAATTAAAGCATTGTTCTGGCAGAGCACAGAGAGTGTTCTGCATTGAACTTCCTAAGTACTTGTTCTTTAGAATCTGGTGGAGGAGGAGGTTGGTTAAAAATAACATGAAAGGATTCTTTTGAGCTCAAGTATTAGGAATGGAATGTTATCTACAGAATTTAAGTTTTCAAATTGTATTACAAATGACAGCTAACTGCTGTATTATTTTTTAGACTTAAGGGTTTGGTTTTTTGGGTTTTTTTTTCAGTTAGCTTTGGAAATTATTCCCCTCCTGTATTCAGTAATTTCCACCTTAGGTTTTACTGAGATTGTGCAAATTGTGCAATCATATGAGATACTTGATTTTGATGCAGTTTCTGTGACTGCTGAGTATTTTTATGTAACTATAACTCAAAGCTAAACCAACTTTTTAGCTTATTCAAAAGCAAGTAAAACTTAGTTTGCAACTAAAAATAGTTTGCTTCAAGGATTAACATTAAATAAGATCTTAACATTAATTGAAAGTCTTAACAGGGACTGATATTACAGCCAGTTGCTTAAAAGAGCAGTAAAAGCACACAGTTCATCATGCTTCAGAAATCTGGCAAGCAGATCATCAGTAAAATTTTAACAGAATATTTCCTATTGCTAAATAGGAATATCTTTATCTTACTAGGAAAGTCTTTTTTCCAAATTGATACTATTGATTTTAAAATTCCTGCAGTCGAAAAATGTGCATTAATTAATTTGCAATACTTAAATTTGGTGATGTGCTATAGAACAGTTTTGTAATTTAGTAAACAAAAGTCTGTGCAAGTCATACTTGGCAGGGGGTTAAAAATCTTCTGCCTACCAAGTGTGCAGGCAGGACAGGTTTGGCAAATAACTTTTTTGGAGGTTTTAATAGTTGTAAAAGTTACTCTGCTTATAACTGGGAAGGGATCATAATTTTTTTTCCATAACCAAGCTCTGGGCTCTGGTGCTGCCGTTGGAAAACCCAGCCATCAGCAGGAGGGAAAGGGAATTTTGTGTGGGAGGTACTGCTGTAGGGAGGCACCATGGAAAATTGGGCACTGGGGAGAGGCACATCCAAGTCACTTAGCCAACCCTTAGGCATCAATTTGAGATCTGTGCTCTAGATCCAGACTATTTATTCTAACCAATTAAGATGCACAATGCAATAAAATACATGTTAACATAAAGATCTTGTAAGAGTAAAAATTATACCTGTTATGTTCTCGTCTCTCCTTCTGAGATTCCACAGAATGTGCATTTGTGAAAATTATTTTTCTCACTCACTTTGAGGTCTTCCATTAAGTGGACGCTTTGCTGTGGTTTGTTGATTGGCAGATTGTTTTTGTAAGAGGCATCTCAACACTTGTAGGGTTCTGTTGTGACTGGAATAGTTCCTAATCCTTGTTCAGGTCAACTTTGGACATTTTGGACAACTTTGAGCATACCCAAATTCCACACTGTAGCTTTTCCGTGCAGAGAAACTTACGAGACTCAAATTCTTTATGAATCCTTTGAGATCTACTGCTTAAAAAACACTTGTCTAACTTATGTTTTTCTTCATGTTTAGAAGATGGTATTATTATCACATACTGTACTGAGGATCAACGTGACATTTGTAAGAAGATTGTTGAAAATGTGAAAATATTCACAAGGTAATTGTGGTGCAGATTGTGGGAGTATTTGATACTGATTCGAATTTGACTATCCAGGTATCATGCACCTGCATCATGTACAGTGCACAATTCACATGCTCAATTTATGTCATTTCTTCTTAGCAAACTTTCAGAATCTCAACAGCAAGAATGGAAAAACATCTCAGCCCTGGCAAGAATTTTTATAGAGTAAGACTAAAACACTTGAACAAGGCTCTGCAGGGAAACCTCTACTGCTGTTACTTGCACTAGGTGTGCCAAAGGAAGAGAAGATTTCTCTTAGTAGGACTGAACAAATACATGACCCAAGTTTTAGTGGAGGAAGTGCTTTATACCAGTAGAGTGAGAACACTGTAACAAAGGGAAACAGCAGAACACATTGGTACAGCTAACTGCTCCTTGTCATTTTATTGAATCTCCTGCTGCATGGATGCTGCTTTCCTCCAGTTCCAAGCAGAGTGTTCTCCTGAACATACTATCTCAAATTGCAGTGAAGGTATGCAAAACCATAGTGACTGGCTGAGTTTTCCTGTTCTGTTTCAGTTAATCATCTCCCCACATCTGTATGCTTTCATGTTAGCAGCTCTTACCGATAGAACTCAGAACTTCAACAACGCAATACAGTATTTGTCTGAATACATAACATAGGGGTTTTTTATAGACAGACAGACATAGATATGTGAAAGGTGTGATGCTACACTTAGAAAATGAAATTAAGGACTGCAGGTCTATAGGCAGGCAACGCCATGCAACAGTAACCTCCAAGTTCTTACCTTTGGAGCACTAAGCAAAAGGTCCCATCAGCTTATCCAGTGCTTTTTCCAGAGAGGAAGATGGTGAGTTGCTTAGTGCTGATATATTTGGAGTTGAGCATAATGAGTAGCATTAAAATTGATGGTCTAAAAATAGGTAACTAACTGGATCCATGGGAGCTTACTCTCCACTGTTTATTTCTTACCAAAAAAGAAGACAAATCCTACTACCCACATTTGATGGATTGTTCTGACTCAGATCTCTTACCTAGCACTATACAGGAGGTCAAAGCTCAGATTATCAAAACTATATTTCTGATGGAGATACATTAATTGTATTTTTAGCAATTATTAATTGCTTCCTGTAATCTGTTTCTGGAAGCCTCAAACCACAGATGCTGAAGTTTAAGTATTTTGACTAAAAAATATAAAATTCCATTAAACTATGTTCTCACAAGGTACCTCTCTGATTTCAGAAGTGTTACTGCCACTGTTTGCTTCCCTAAGTAATATATCAGGTAGGTGACTATTCATATACCAGGAAAAATATGAAGTCAGAATTTTTGTAAGTTTTAACCAGGAGAGAAAAGGCTGCCAGAATAACATCTTGTGTATTATCACATTCTCTGTATCTGGGGCTGTCAGACTGTTATAATGAGAATGGCAATTTCATGTTCAAGAGATCATTTCTGTTGTAAAATTGCAAATTCAAAGTGAAGAACCACATTGGCTTTTTCTTCCATTTTTTTTGCGCTTTCAGGTGGATCTTACTCAGTTTGGCACATACAGTACCTCAAGAATATTTATTTCCTAACAAGTTCTTTGCTGTTAGACCTCTGTAGACAACTTACACTTCTCTGGCTGTTGGATGAATAGGCAAACTTGAGTTTTTCCACCTGCTTTATAGTTAAAATATACCCAATTTAAACTATGAACTGGCAAATATAGTTCCTAAAGTTCCATACTGAGATGATCTGTGTTCTGCTCACTTTTATTTTTTTAATGTAGTAGGAAAAATATTTTTATTAAAAGCTGTATCTACAGTAGAGGTCTTAAGTTCCTTCCAGGTAAGTTATTAGTATACTGTTTCTTACTAAAATAATTTTTTTTCCATATGTAATAGTGTGGTGTGGGCAGTTCAAGCTTCTAGATGACTGCCCTAATAGTAAAGAAGCTGAAAAAAGAAAACCCAGACATATTCCTTGTGTGCTGCTGGACTATGATTTGTGGCAGGGACATACTCTGCCAACACGGATGTGAGTAACTGCTATTGTTCCCCTGATGTTGGATATTGCATTTCTTTCCCCACTGGTTTTGTATTTTTATGGCTAAAGGAAAAAATTGTTTTAAATTTATTGCATATTTTCTCAACTGTTTCATTTTGACTGATACCATATGAAGCACTTACATAGAAGAAGTCTACGGGGAGATAACTACACTAGTTTTTAGTGATGAGGTTTATCTGTATTTTAACAGTTAAACCCACTGTGTTAATAAAACAACTTCTGAAAAACAATCCTGCTCAGTTTCAGTATTTTCCCCATACCTCGTATTTTAGAAGAAGACAGATAAGAATTAAAAAGCACAGCTCCATCTTGAATAAAGTAGGGAACTAATTCCCGGCTTATAAATGGATCTGGCAGTTCTCTACACACTGTCTGCATTGCAAGGATAAGACTTAGTTACAAGCTACTGCAGTTGCTTCTGCCCAAATGTTCATTAATTTCCTGAAAACAAATCACTGCTCATGCCAGAATATGTCTTAAGTTTACTTGTAATTTAAAAAATTCTACCCAGCTTTATTGCTGGAGAGCAGGAAGGACATTATCATGTGCCCAGATACAGTATGTGCACCCTCAGGCAAGTTCATGGTCCTGGGCAAGCAGCCTCAGTTCTACTCTGCCTGCAGGATTCTGCAAATCCCAATTGTGAACATTGCTACATAAGATAAAGGGAAGCATATGATGGATGCTTCTCTTTTCCGTCATTCCGGGGCTGGACAGAGAGGGTTAATCTTTGCAAGAACTACTGAAAACAAGTTCAGTGGTGTGTTGACTGATTAAAAATGACAAGTGTTTAGACAAGCAGCATTAACCTCCACAAATCCATGGATGTGTCTATCCCAATCACATTTACCAGTTTAAGACCATTGAATTATAAATGAGATGCCTGATGTAAGACAAATGAATCTCAGAAATGCTACTCCAATATGTTAACCCAGTTTTTGATTGACAAGTTAGAAAGTGTGTACAGCTGATTCTTTAGGATCTTCCACTTCCCAGCTCCAAATGCAGGGGACTACACAATAACAAAATCCTTACCCCATGAAGTTGCCTGTCTGTGAGATTGCTGCCATATGACGTATTTAAACTGCACAATGTGTTTGAAGATAAGCCATTAAGAACAAGAACAGAACAATTGTCTTTCACTTCCCTAACTGAAATTAAATTC